TATCTTACCACATGGTTTAACATTTCTATACATTTCCATAATTTAATGTATATAATTCTCATCATTTCCTTTTCTTCCTCATTCAGAAAGCACTAGCATAGAGAGGGGAGAGCAAGGAGGTCTATCATGCCCCGGGCACCACTCAAGACAAACAAGATTTATTTCTGGAGGGGGAGGGGACGCCAATAAAGTGTCGTGCCCTTTGCGCCAGTTTTTTTCGCTACGCCACTGTCAGATAGTTCTCGGAAATCCCGAAGATATCCCATATCAGTAATGTATATACAGGCTTAAAGGATAACTACAAATTTTCGACAACTAAGTTTTCTTGCCTTTAACGAACACTCCCAAAAAAAATTTTAAACTGAACAGAAATTGTAAGCAAACCACAAACAGTCTAATCAATTTGAAGACTAAAATCGTGAAAGTGACAGTTAATAGAAAGAAATATTAACGACATTTACGAATAAATACTGTTCAAAACCGAATTAAAATAGTGTTTATAAACAGTCCTTTAAAAAACAAAAGCAATATCTGAGTTTAAAACGAGAAAAATTCATATATTAAAAGAATTTCGAATGTTTACAGCTGGTTTTCTCTATGCTCCAGCCAAACTTACGCCTAGACGTAATCGAAGCGCTCGAAGTGGCAGAAATATTTATTAAAGCTGTGTAGTAGCATTAAAGATATTGGCAGCGCAAGGACCAGTATATCTATCGACTATGGCAGGGGTGGCCAACAAGTCGATCGCTCGCGATGTCTTGACTTAATGCAGTGTTTTTCAACCTTTTTCATTGAGTGGCACCCCTGATTGAAAAATAAAAAATCGTGACACCCTTGACCAGCGGCGGATCTGAATAAAGGGACTAATGGGACAGATAAACTTTTTGCGAAAACGAATATTACGTGCAACGCTGGGGTGGGGTCAGGGGAGGGAGTCCCTCCTTGGGAAGAAAACTTTTAAAAATTGACAATTTGAAGTAGTATTTTAATGCAAAAAAAAAACAGCGTTTCTACGTGTTCAAAATCAAAATTTAAGTCCATCGAATTTTGTCAAAATACCTACATATAAAATAATAGTCTCTCTATTATTTTTTAAATTTAGTTTTATTATCAATTATATCATCATTTTATATAATTATTTTATTGATAAAAAATTTTTGTTAGTTTTTTATACTATTTTGATGCATATATAAAATAAATATTTCATTACTTTTTTCTTATCTTTTTCATATCAATTAAAAAAATTTAAATTAAAAAAATGATAATAAATTGTTTATTTGTCATCATTGCTTTTGAATACTATGAAAGTACTGTAATATGCATCTACATTGTGCACGCTTTTCAAAGTGCAATGCAACGCTTTTTAAAGTATGTACAAGACATGTCCATGTCGTTCTTTTCTGCTGGTTGGCCAGGTACTGGGACTGGGAATGTGAAGGCCAAGTAATGTGGTTTGGGCGAACTCGTGACAAGTCGTGCGTACACGTAGCGTTGAACATTACATTAACATGCGATTAGTCATCGTTTCTTTGCTTACTAGATATCTCGTAGCAAAATAGAACTGACAATGAGTTATCTTGAACTACACTTAAGTAAATTTCCAAGAAAATGACTAAAGGCCCTAAACTTTGCGACACCCCAATCGTGGCGTCGTGGCACCCTAAGGTGCCGCGGCACCCCGGTTGAAAAACACTAACTTAATGTATTACACTTGTAAATTGTAACCGAACGCAACGCGTGAACGAAACGCGCAAACGCAACTGTAATGATATCGGACCTCCTCGTTCTCCCTCAGATGCGGTTTTGTCGGTCCACGTGCAGGCCCGCCGTAAGCGGGCGTGCAAGGCGTGCACCGCACGCGGGCGGCACGTCCAGGGGGCGGAAAATCGAGCGATCGGTCACGTAATATTCTATGTCATTGTCATAATACCCACCCTACTTACAGCGTAAGAAATGTCTTCGCATGAAGAAAAAAATCCGACCGGCGCGCAATTACTATACTATATTCTTATTTATATTATAGCGTTAACAGCGCTATAATATAAACAGCGTTAACAGCGCCTCTATTGGCATTTATCACAATTAAGATGCAATGCGAAACGTCTGTCGGCAGGTTGAACCATCCGGCGGCGCGCGAAAGCTCATAGTTGTGCTCTATGATAGAAGTTGACAGGACTGGCGAAAACAGGGAATCCCCACAGAGCTTCCTTCTCAATTTGTACTTGTACGCATTCGAACAATTCTATCGCATATCAAATTGCAATTATTTTGTTAATAATTCTTCTGACATGGGTCGAAGTATAATTAATGATATTTTAACTTGATTAGGATTTAAATCTGAAGCTTAAAGATGATTCGAGTAGTGAAACAGACATTGAAGGTATTGATTTGTTTAATGAAATCAATACTTTAAAGTTGCATTTTCCAGAAAACCAGTCTAATGATCCACAAACCCTATTACAATATCTTTTTACTAATGACTTAATATCAACATTTCCTAACACAGCAATAGCACTAAGAATATTACTTACATTGCCGGTTTCAGTTGCAT